CGGTCGCCGAGCGGTCTTCCCCCCTCCAAGCTGCAGGAGCACCTTCGCACCGCCATTCTCCTCTCATCCCCGTGTGTGTGCCCTGTGCCCGTCAGCCCTGAGGGGAAACCCTGCTAGAGTCATATACTAACTGGTGTTTCTCAGGTGAAAAGCTAAAAGCTCTTACTCTATGTTTTCTGGTCGTTTTCAGGTAGTACACTGATGTTACAGGGAATTTCTTGGATTGAAAAAAAAAAAGCTATTAGTAGGAATATATGTTTGGATGAATTTGATAGAAAGCTGAGCTCTTGCTTGGGGAATTAGCCTTATTTCAGTGGAAGAGGTGCATTTCTAAACTCAAGATTTTACTGATTCTCCAGGCTCTTTTCAACAGAGAGCAAATGGTTTGACACCTTTCCAGACCCTCAGCTGCTAACAGTCTAATTTAAGCCTGGGCAAGGAATTTTGTTCAACGATGAAAAATGTAATTTTAAAACTCCGTTTGTAATGGACATGAAGGATACTTGATAGGTTTTATTCTAATAAGGATGAACTTGTTAATATGTCCATTGGCCAGGAAACTGAGCAATCAGTGTGTATTATGACAGATGCTTGTTTTATTTCTTGGAGTTCTGATTTGCTACCTCCAGTTCCTAGATGATCTAGATATACACCCAAAGTTTCTGACTTTTGGTAATCATAGGGGGAAATACGTAGGCCTTGTGGCAAACAGTGTCTTTTCAGTCTCTTTCTGGTAGAAGTTGTTGTTCATGAACTATGCACTAGTGTCAGAAGATCTGTGATAGCAAGCCCTGAGCATGCTTTAAGGGTTATGTGTGAGAACCCCCCAAAATATTTACAGCTTCTATAAAGTTCACTATGTTCCAATGTATTAATATTTTTGGCTCTCCATCAGTTTCTGGTGCTTTTATTTTCTTGCAGTTGTTTTAGAAAACATTTCAACAATGGATGGAGCCAACTGGCTCTTTCCACTTATGGGTTTAAATAGTTCCCTGGCTCCCTTCTTTCTGTCTGGAAACTGGTTTGTGCAAACACACTGTAAATATTTAATGTGACTTTTTCACACCATTTGGCAATTATTATCCATATTATAAAATAAATGCAGAAAGGTTTTGACCTGACCTGCGCAGTTATAAGCAACATGTTTGAATGCTTAATTGCCATTTTTTTATTTACTTTTTTTCTCTAGGACAAAGGGATCTAAAGGCCCTAAATATTTGAATATGGGAAGACTGTAAACACCTTTAGTAGTTGTTTTAAAAGTACAAAGAGCTTCTATCTGAATAAGAGAAACAAAAAAAAAAAAAAATTCTTCTGGAGACCTAACACAGCAATTAATACTGTCCTGGGTCTCCAAAATCATTAAACTACCAACAAATATAACAGAATATTTCACTTGCATGCCATTTCTTGATTCTCTAAGTCTAATTGATAATTAGACTACCAATTAAATCACCTGAGTCTCCTATCACACCCATAAATGGTTCCTCACTTGTCTTATTTAATGAAGTCCTGCTGCTTACTTCCATTTATCTCAGGAGCCTTCTTATTGCAGCTTTTGATGCTTTCTGTGAAAAAAGTAATTTGTTAATGCAAACAATCATATTCATAGTTTACTATGTGCTAGGGTTTAAACTGCATTAGTGTTTGTCAAGACAAAATGAAATGTTGTGTTCTAATATTGTGAAAATAGGGCTTTATAATATTCACTGTGATGGTAGTTAACTGAATTATTTTTCAGTTAGTGAGAAGATGCAGTTTTAGCTCTTATTAGGTCTTTATGAGCACAGGACAATGTTAGAAAGCTTTCAGTATGAGAAAAGACATGACAGGATTTTAATGAACGTTTAAAGAGCGCTTTTGCTGTTGATGAAAGCTGCTGAATAGCTTAGGGATATGTGTCTATTGCAGTTCTGATCAGTGGATAAAAGCTTGGACGTTGTAGCTACGTACAGCACTTGCCACTACGTGACAGATATTGAAGCAGATACTAGATCATTCAAGATGCATACTTGAATAGAATTAGGTCTATTCACGCGATATTTAGATTTTCTAACCTGGGTATGACCATAAGCGCCAAATTTCTAACGCTGTTGACTCACTTCCTCAGTAGTACTGCTGTTGATCAACTGACTGGTAGGCCACAGAAACAGTTCTTCAAGAACTTGCAAGTTGTGTGTAACTCAAGAGATTGCTGATTGGCTTCTTCCTGCATAGTATTTAGATCTCAGATCTAGGAGAAGGGAGCCTTTTTTTTTTTTTTTTTTTTTTCCCCCATTCCCTGTTTCAGGAGATACTGCAGTTTATTTAAAAAAATATTAACTGGAGCAGGGATGGGAACTGAGGCCCACTCTGTCTTACAGTTATGCAATTTAGCATGTTCATTGGATAGTTACCAAAAAATAATGCCATCTACAGTCATCCAATTAGTGTAGCCCAGGGAATACTCTGGTTACTCATGGCAACTTCAAGAGGAGAAATTCTTAGAGCAGCACCCTGCATACAGATTAAGATTATATAGCACCATGGTTAGGCCATTCTTGTGGGAAATGAGTTCAAATACCCTTGTAAATGGTTTAGAACTGAACCCAAGTTTCCTTTGTGAGGACATTCTCTAGTAGATCAAGATAAAATGATGGATTTTTCCCTCCACTGCGTTGTAAGAAATGACTGGCAAGCGTACCTATTGTCTTCCAAGCGTGACATTTAAAGAACTTCCAATGTATATGTTTATATCTTTGTCTTCTCCTTTAAAAAGATCTTTCACCTCTCCAAAGTAGTGCATAAATCCACATCCATATTTCTGAGTGAAATTATCAGAATCCAGTATGGAAGCTGTAGTTTTAGACAGCCCTTGATTGGCATAAGTCATCACCCCTGCCACTGGGGAAGTAGTTTCAGTCAGCTTTTTCAGATCCTGTGCTCCCTTCTCCCAGCAGATGTGTTGAAGCAGGCTGGGGTACTGATATGAATTAAAACTAGCCAAGTGGTGGGCGGGGGGAGGCTGTTTAACCCAAATTTGTTTTTCTTGGCAGCTGTGTGCATGTTTCTGCCAGCCCAAGATGGAGCAATGGAGGAGGGCAGCACTGGATGATAATGCTAGGTCAAACTGTTTACAAAGCTGCACCTTTAGGATGTTGTGTTGGCCCAAATATAGGTGGGACTGCTCTGCGAAGTAGGTCAGGGAACCAAGCTGACTTAAAAAGACTCTGTGCAAAGAGAAAAATGTTAAAATAGTATCATTTTCCTAATCTGTTTCTCAGAACAGTTTCACAAGCAGTTGTGCTTCTGCAATTAAGACAGCAGACAGAGTGGAGACAGAAAAGGGTGACGGGTGAGCTGAAGTCAGCAGCTGAGGGTAGGCAAATACCTTAAGCCCATACTGCTGCTAAACACTTCGCATCATGAAATGATGGCTTTGTTAATGTCATTTGTTATTTTCAAGAGTTAAGTTAACTTTCGATTTTTAGTACTCTCGTGTGTTTACCTTACAGTGTTGTAAGGCTTTTTTATAGCGCTTATTCATGGAGAAAAGTATCAAAATTAGCATACAATAGCTGTCTGTGTGATAATCTTTGAAATTATTTTCTAGTAACAAACCTGTTCTTTGGGCTCTGTGAATCACAGAATCGTTTAGGTTGGAAGGGACCTCTGGAGATCATCTAGTCCAACCTCCCTGCTCAAGCCGGGACCTCTAGAGCATATTGCCCAGGATCACAGCCAGACGGGTTTTGAATATCTCCAGGGAAGGAGACTCCACTACCTCTCTGGGCAACCTGTGCCAGTGCTCTGTCACCCTCCCAGTGAAGAAGTTTTTTCTCAGGTTCAGGTGGAACTTCCTGTGGTTCAGTTTCTGCCCGTTGCCTCTTGTCCTGTCACTGGGCACCACGGAGAAGAGGCTGGCCTCATCGAATCTTGACACTCCCCCTTCAGATACTTGTACACGTTGATGAGATCCCCTCTCAGTCTTCTCTTCTCCAGGCTGAACAGGCCCAGCTCT